AGCACAACAGGGACCGACACGGTCCAAGAGCGGTCCAATACGCCCAAGATAATTTCTTCGCGATCGGAGCATGATCGACCCACGAACCTGGGAAGGAACATAGCAATGGGAGGCATGGAACATGACTAGGCGACGGGCCACTGCAATGCTGAAAATATCCATGGTGGTGTGACGTGTCAGAGGTTGTGCTGTGCTGCGCCGTGCTGAACTAGGCTGCGTCATGCTGTGTTGAACTGCGCTGTGTTCCATTGCGTTGTGGGTCAAGTCGTTCTTGGCATCCGAATCCTGACCGAACTGACAGGGATCGTAAGCTCCAGATACCTGAACGCGTAGCCCGCCCAGAGCAGATTGCAATCGAAACGTGCGGGGCGCTCAACCAGCTCGGGCCCAAGATCCAATTCAAGCTCGAAGCAGGGCAAACCAACAAGGGGCGAACCCGAACCAAAGCAGGCCACACTGACAATGGACGGACCGAAACGCGACGAACCGAGACGCGATGAATTTAGACAAGACGAATAGACACAATACGAACCGAGACGGGGGACCGAACCGACCCTAATCGAATCGAGGCACAACGAACCGAGGCTGGGACAAGCCAAAGGCGTTCCGGCTCACCCACCTGGAACCACTTGGCGTCTCCTGCCGAAACAAAACGCACTCCGAGAGCCAAGACCCTCCATGAATTGTAGCGGAATGTAAAAGATGTGCGGCCTCAAAGCCACGATCCTGGCGCAACATGCGGTTGATCCGTGCTGTGCGGAATACGAACCGAGACGAAGGCCAAACAGCGTAAAAAACACTCGGCTTCAACGGGCGAAATGAACACATGTAAGAACACATGACGTCGGCTCACGGGCGAACGGGGCGAACGGAGCCCATGCAAAAGCACACAGTGTCAGCTCACGGGCAAAAGGGGCAAAACAGAAGCTCGCGGTTGCCTCTCGCGGGCGAGAGGAACACATGCAAGAGAACGTGGGGTCAGCTCGCAAACAACACCCAGGGTAAAACAAGTGCTTTTGAACTCACGAGCTAAAAAGAAACGCTTTAAAAAAAGACATGCGGTCTCAACTCACGGGCGAAGGGAGCACATGCATAATCACATGGAAAGGGGTTCACGTCAAACGTGTGGCGTCAGTTCACGGGCGAAAAGGGCCCATGCAAAATCATATGCTTTGAGTTCACGGGCGAAAGAAGCAGTGGAAAAATGCTGTGTTCCAGCTGACGGGCGAAAGGAGCACATGTATAAACACATGGGAAGGAATGCACTTTTAATAATGATACTTATGTGTATAAATTAAATCAGTTATTTTTAATATAAAAAATGTGCTTATAAATGTTATGTTAAAACAGAAAAGTGGCGTCAGCTCACGGGCGAAATGAAACCATACAAAAACACATGGTTTCAGCCCACGGGCGACAGGAACCCATGCAGAGACACACGAAGCTCACGGGCGAAGGGAAGGCCTGCAAAACAGATGGCCTCGACTCGTGGGTAGCCAAGAAAACTTGGGGCCAGCTCACGGGCGACGAGAAACCAGCCCACGGGCGAGAGGAGCCGTGCAAATCGACAAGGAGCCTAAATTGGTAACAACACAGGGCTTCAGCTTACGAGCGAAAGTACGCAGTGTAAAAGCACGTTGTGTCGGCTCACGGGCAAAGGGAGCCCAATTCAAAAGTACGTGGTTTCAGCTCGCAGGCCACCGGAACCCATGCAGAAAAACTCGGTTGCAGCTCCTCCTCCTCCGTTTCCTCCTCGCAGACGAGGCCCCCCGTTGAAAATTTCCTTGGAATTCACTCCCAGATGAGGCCCCCGCTCGAGGGACTCTCGAAATTTGCCCAGGCGTAGAAACCGATGACCACATGTTGGAAATCCCCTCTGCGTGGCCTCGGCACGAGAAAACACGTGTCGAAGCAACGGGCGCCCGAGATGGTTTCTTCACGGTCCGAAGATTATACCCAAACGCCCCAAGAGCGCTCCCAGTGGTCCGCCAAAGAAATCCCGAGAGGCCAAAATCATTGATTCCCCACTGGTTTGAAGGACTTCAGAGTTCTCGACTTTTCGGCCCTCCGACGCTCCAAGACGGCCAAAGAGGCACCCAAGGTCGCCCCAAGACAGCCCAAAAGGCTCCCAAAAAACGGCTTTATTATTCGCGATAACGCCCGTGACCGGCCACGCGCCCCCCCCCCACGGCCCCTCCCCCGTGGTCACGTCACGAGTCGCGCCGGCGCCGTCTGGGAATGAGCCATTCCTTGGCATTTCCAAACGAACGGCGTTGGCATGAATCGCAACGTGACCGGCCCCCCCCCCTCTGTCACGCCAGCTATCGCCAGGGGATTCCAGTATCCTGGCGCAGGACCCAACCATATACAGTTGTGAATACCGCTGTTATGAGTATCGCCTTCGGCGCCACGCGAACCCTGGAATTTGCGACTTGACTGGAGATCCTTATGGGGCCGCAGAAATCGTGAGGAGTGCGCCGAAATCGAACACCGACGCAATGCTAACCCTTGCATTTGGGCCTTAGCTTGGGTTCCCTATGGGATACCGAAACGTGTTGGGAGTGTGCCGAATTGAGGCGCCGACGCCATGTGAACCCTAGCATTTGGGCCTTAGCTGGAGCTCTCGATGGGGCCACGGAACGTGTGAGCGGTGTGCCGAAATGAGGCGCCGACGCCATGCGAATCCTGGCAGTTGGGCCTTAGCTGGAGCTCCCTTTTGGGCCACGAAACGCGTGAGCGGTGTGCAGAAATCAAGAACCAACGCCATGCGAACCCTGGCAGTTGGGCCTTAGCTGGTGCTCCCTACGGGGCCACGAAACGTGTGAGTGGTGTGCCCAAGTGTGGACATACGGAGGGCAGAGGCAGGGATCGCAGGAGGGAGGAGGGAGGAGGAAGGAGGAGATGCGGGGCGCTGTCTCTTCAAAACGAGGATCCAGCACCACAGGATGATTGGAAAGAACTGGCTTCGAGAAGGCCCCAAAACAGCCCAAAAGGCCCCACGACGGCCCAAGAAGCTCCTCAAGAGGGTCGCAAGAGGGGGAACCCGAATTGAGATTGCGAGCTCTTCCCCAAAAGGTGACCTCTGAGACTGCCAGAAGGCCCCCGAAAGGCCTCCAAATGTCCCCAAAACCCTCCCCCACCTCAAAACATGATCGACTCACGAACCCGGAAAGGAATATAGAAATGTAAGGCATGGCAACGTTTCAAAGACGCTTGATTGTGCGACGGGCAAATGCAGTGCTGAATGTACAGATCTTGATGTACTGTGCCGAGGGCTGTGCTGTGCTGGCCGTGCTGAACTGCGATGTTTCATGCCGCGATTGTGCTCTATATAGCGTTGTGGATCGAGTCCTCGCTGGCATCCGAGTCCTGACCGAACTGATCTGGATCTTAAGCTCGAGCTGCCTGAGCAGATGGTAGCTGTCCCAGAACTAATCGACAGAGGGGACATGCCAGGAGGACGCGCCGCGGAACGTCCCAAGGGACGCGCCAGGCGGCGTGCCAGGGGGCGTGCCGTGTGCACGCACCGCGGGACGTGCCAAGGGGACGCGCTACGGAACGTGCCAATGGACGTGCCGCGGGACGTGCCAGGGGACGCGCCGCGCGACGTGCCAGGTGGACTCGCCAAGGAACGCGCCAAAGAACGCGCCAAGATGCAATGTTGAGTGTATTGTATCGATCTTGATGTACCGTGCCGACGGCTGCGCTGTGCTGGCAGTGCTGAACTGCGATGTGACATGCCGCGTTTGTGCTCGATTTAACGTTGTGGATCGAGTCCTCTTTGTATCCGAGTCCTGACCGAACTGATCTGGATCTTAAGCTCGAGCTGCCTGAGCAGATGGTAGCTGCCCCAGAACTAATCGACAGAGGGACATGCCAGGAGGACGCGCCGCGGAACGTCCCAAGGGACGCGCCAGGCGACGTGGCAGGGGACGTGCCATGGGCACGCACCGCGGGACGTGCCAAGGGGACGCGCTACGGAACGTGCCACGGGACGTGCACCGCGCGACGTGCCAGGGGGGCTCGCCACGGGACGCTCCGCGGAACGTGCCAGGCAACATGCCAAGCTGCAATGCTAAGGGTATCGATACTGATGTACCGTGCCGAGGGCTGTGCTGTGCCTGGGCGACCTGGACACGTGAAAACACGCTTTTCGCTCAAGACGTTCTCAGCACATCCTCACGCTAGACATCCGCCTGGGCAACCTGGACACGTGCAAACAAGCGTCTCGATCGAGACTTCCTCGACACATCCTCATGCTAGACATCCGCCTGGGCGACCTGGACACGTGAAAACAAGCCTCTGGTTCGAGAAATCATCAACAAATCCTCATGCTAGACATCTGTCTGGGCCACCTGGAGGCGTGAAACCAAGCGTCTCACTCGAGACATCCTCAAGACCTGGGCACGTGAAAACAAGCATTTCACTTGAGAGATCCTCTGAATTCAGGCCCCCAGGAAAGGACAATCTTTAACACAAAACAAGCGTTTCGCTCGAGACATCCTCAACACATTCTGAAAAACAAGCGTTTCGCTAGGGACATCCTCAAATATGAATTCGCCGGCCCTACGCGACCTCGTTATTTATCGCAAAAGAAATTCGCTGGCCCTACAGCCGTCAGATGCAGGGGTAAACCTCTAAAAGAGAACCCTGGGCCTCAGCCTTTTCCGGGAAACAAGAGGCCACAAAAATGCCTTCGCGAGCTCGCAAGCAAGGCCAACGATGTACAGGTCCAGGGCAGCGTCAGAGATGGTTTTCGGCCTGGGCGCGACCTTCACGACCCCAACGAGCGCCTCCACGGGGCCTGCAGGAGTGCCCAAGAAGGTCCGACACGGTCCAAGAGCGTTCCAATACGCCCAAGATGGTCTCGTCACGGCCCAGGTGGACTCCCAAACGCCCCAAGAGCGCTTCCAGTGGCCCCCAAAGAGGTCCCGAGAGGCCGAAACCATTGATTCCCCTTGGGATTTTTGCTCCGCTTCGAACTCGGACCTGTTGAAAAGCTATTCGCAGGAACGCCTAGTCGCTGGACAATGCATCCCCAGACTCCTGTGCATTGCGCAGCCGCCCGGACTGTGCTGTGAAACGTCGCTGGGCCACAGGTTCCTCTCCTGTGCCGCCATGCTACTCGCCGGTCCCTCTCCCCCGATCCCTCCCCCGAGACCCATGCCACTCCCAAGGTCACCGTGCCGAGCTGACACCATACACGTGGAGGCAGAGGCGGAGCGCGTGGTGGGATAGAGAGGGGGTGGGCGCAGTGCAGGCGGCTCCAGTCCGCCCCGCCAGCCACCGCCGGAAAAAGTGCGTGACCTGGAGAGTGGACACTCAAGTTGAGACTCAATGCTGTCTCGAGCCGGAATCAAGGTTGGTAAGCCGCTCCAGCGGAATGGAGGGGGCCGGGAGGGTGAACACTGCGGTGGGGAGTTTGCCGAAAGGTCCCTTTCGGTTCTGTCATGCGTTACGCAAAAAGTTGAGTTGTTGCCGCTGCCGCCTGCAAGCTCACCAATCAAATCGAGCACAACAGCCTGAGCGCGTTTTGGCTGGGCACCGCATGGATCTGTCGCGGCGCCTGCCCTTCGTCGGACCGGGAGGGAGCGAGCGTCTTTCGCAAAGTAAAGGCTGACAAAAAAAAAACCTCCTCCATGACACGATTGTCTCATGACGTGGCGGGGGAAGCATGATATTCGGGGCCGTCTTCTGACGGCCAACCCGCAGGCGCCCACCCCCATTCGGGAAGCTAGCCCGCGAATGTCTGCGGATATGGGGGGAAGAGGAGCACACGTCGCCATATGGGGGGGGAGAAGAGGAGGAGGATGAGGAGGAGGAGGAGGAGGATTTCTTCCTCTGCGAACCGTGAGGCAGGACCGAGGGGGCCAACAGTTAACCCTACGCTGACGGTCGCGCGCTGCGAGCGACCTCCCTGAAGCAAGCACGAGTCCAACGATGCTCGTCGCACAGCGCGGCGGGCAAATGGCGCAGCCCAGGCCGTAGCCGCCAAGAGGGCGCGGGATACAGAAGCCAAAGGACGAGCCCGTCGGATGTGATGGCCCAGGGACTGACTACCTACCAAACCACCCCCAACCCAACCCGAAGACCCGAATTTGACCCGAATTTCGGGTTGGGGGCGGTACGGGTTCCATGTGTTTTTACTATGTTCCCCGACCTCCCACAATAGAAATGGAGGGGAAATTGGGGCCTTCGGGTTGGGTTGGGGTGGTTTGGTGGGCGGTGAAATACTGACCATGGAAACAACACCACAGGCAGCACAACACGAGAGACGAGGGGGAAAACAATACAGTGAAGTCCAGCCTGGCAACAGCCGAGGCAGGGCGATCCCCTCAAAACAATCACTGGTCGGAGCCATCCATATGCGGATGCCGTTGCGGAGGAACAAATGGGCCCTCGTCGCCCTCGACCCGTAGGAATTCAACAACATGTCGGAGCACATGTGTCAGTGCAGTTGTTTTCAGCAAAGACCGCGCGGCAGTCCAACTGCGGGTGCGCCCCAGGGCCCTAGGACTAGGGCCAAAACAGCGGCGGGCAGCGTGCATGCCACAAAACAAGACAAGCGTGTACAACATACACACATGGTGGCACGGGCGGCAGAGGGGCAGGGGAGTGCACTCTTCACACTGGGTGAGTACAATTATGCCCCGATGCCGCTCCCTCTGAAAGGCAACGCTGCACGCAATTATAATGTATATCAGCCCACGGGCCGAAACACCTCAAGCAGATGCGGCCTGAGGCTCGAAATATAAATATGAATGTCTAGATTCACCAATCCAGACTGTCAACTCAAAAGATATGCATGAGACACCTCAAGCAAGGTGCGGCCTGAGGCTCAAAATATAAATACAGGAATATGAATATCTGGGTACACTACTTCCAGACGATCAACTCAAAAGATATGCGTACCTCACCGTAGCCCTCACTAGGTCCATCAGCAGCTGCAATCAGGACCTCACGGGCTCGCAGGCCCTGGAACGGCGACCCGACGCTGGGCCTTCCGCTCCTTGGCTCGCTCACGCTGTCCGCGGCGCAGCCGCAGACGGTGTGCCCCCTCATCCTCTTGCTCAGCAGTAGGCACCATGCTGAACAGGCCGTGGCGGGGGAACTGCGATAGTACCTCGTTAGGCTGCACGGCTTTTGTCAACACATCCGCTAGCATGCGGCTGTTAGGCAGCCACTTGAACTTGATGGCCTCCTGCTCTATCAAATCCTTGGCCACCAGCAAGTCAATGAGGGTCTGCCGAGACACCGGCATCGACCCGATCTTGGACGTGTGATCGTAGAGCGACTTCGCATCCGTCACGAGCGCCCCTGGAACCTTCAGCGCCAGCCTCCAGTCCCCTTGCAAGGGCGGCTCCCCGTACAAGATTGCCTCAATCAGCAGCCTGAGGTAAAGCTGCCGATCCAAAGCCACGGACATAGCCGCAGATTCTGCGGCCATCGTAGATCCAACAACTCGTGTAATAGTACTGCTCTGAAACTCCACTAGACAGCATACAGTTAGCTCCTTCAAAACTCGGGTGTCCGTAATCATACTCATAAACCCCATCTGGCTCTTACAGCCGGGTTCCTTCGCAAACGAAGCGTCCATAAGCGTGAGCAACTGCAGGTGCTCGATGTCCACACGGCGGATCCGGAGAGTCGCAAGACCTCTCTTGTCGTAGTCCTGAAGCCGGTCGATGATGTCATTGAGCACTCGCTGGTGCAGCAATCTCCGACCTTTCGGATCCTTCTGTGCGAGCGCCGAGACACTATACGCGAGTTGTGGCACCACGCGTGCGACAGGCCACCGCACCTTCTGGAGCAAGCTCCGGTAGTCGTGGTGCTCCTCGGGGGTCATCTCCCGCTCCTCGTTGTCACCCCTTGCAAGGGGGTGCTTCGTCAGCTTGCCGATGTACTCGTGCATGCTGATCTCGATGTGATCGGGGTGGCGCCACCACTCCTCACCGAGATAGGCGACTGCCTCCTTGTCACTGCCCTTCTTCCAGTGCTTGATGTTGAAACGACTGTTGATGTTCGCCTTCACCTCCTGGTACTGGGGATCGTGTGGGTCTCCAAACAGCATGCCGTCATCGACGTGCAAGGTCAACATAGCGATCAACTTGTCTTTCATTCGATAAACGAAGACAGCTCGAGCACAGCGCAGCTCCACGAAACCGACCTCGTCCGTCAACACCTGGCGGGCTCGGAGATACCACAACCGAGGCGCCTCAGTCAGACCGTACGCCCCTTTCAGCAAGCGAAGCAACGCATAAGGCCGCACGGCTGGCCATCCAGCACCGTCGACGGCTGGAAGCCCGTCCTTAGGAGCCCTCACATACAGCTCCCGTTCCAGCTTCAGCCCGGACAGGAACGCAGTCGCTACGTCGAAACACTCGAATGTCCAATTCATCGCCATTGTGATAGAAGCACACACCAGCACAGCCAAAGGGGAAGTAGTAGGCGAATCCGTCCTGAATAGACCAAGCTGCGGATCGAGATGGCCAGGGATGATCAAGCGAGACTTCGCCTCCAGCTCCGGCCCTCGTCCCCGGTTCGTGCGAACCGAACGCATGGGCACCGAGATGATCTTGTCCTTCGGGATGCTCTTCTCCTCCTCCTCGGTGACCAGCTCGACCGTGTTGTTGGCGATCCATTGCCGCCACTCGGCGGCATCGGCCTCGTCGAACTTAGCCTTCTCGTGCTGGTTGAAGTGACGCGGGTCTAGCTCCTTCGCGTTTTGCTTCATCACGAGTGCGAACACGTCGTGCTCGTACCGGGCCTCCTGCAGCCATGCGTCATACACAGATGACACGTTGATCCATTCTTCGTAAGTCATCGGCTGTCGTACAAGACCCTCCGGAGTGTCCAAATAGTACACCCCTTGTGCATGAGCGTCCGGCTTGTCGTGATAGAAAAGCGTGAGACCAACCCAGCTGTCCTCCGTGCGCTCGTTGGTACGGTTCGCGCCGTCGTCCTTGTAGGCACACTGGCCCGTAGCGGAGAGCATCACCGAGAGGCGATTGCACTCCCGGTGGCGGTCGTGATCATAGAGTCTCCGCCGTGGCTCTCGGTGTACACGTACTCCTCGTACGACCTTCTGAACGAGCGTGGAGACACCATCCAAGGCATTCTGGTCGAACCACTCCTGAGGTCCCGAGCGCACAACGGCGTTCATGGCCACTTCGCGGAGGGCCGGCAAACCACTCGTAGGAGCAGCCTGCAGACGCGTCTTCTTGATGCAAATCGGCACGTCATCTACCAGGAACTTCCGTTTTCGCTCAAGCTCGAAATCGTCTCTGGGAATCGGCGGCACCGAAGGGCCGCCAGAGCCCGATGCTCCCGGAGAGGCCTTCGGGCACACCTCAGAGGATGTCCGCCCTGGAGGGGAACGAGAACGCTCCCTCTTCGGAGGGGGAAGCTGCGGCAGCTGCTGCTGCTCAGGCGGCCCCTCCTCCTTGGCCTGCGCCTCAATGGCGCCCAGGGCCCTCAGGTCCACACGAGGCTGCCTGGACCCCTCGAGCTCCCCATGTCGGTCACGCTCCTTCTTCAAGAACGTCTTTTTCACCTTCTGAACCTTTACCTTGGGCGTGACGTCCACGATGTCGTGGTAAGCGCGGTCATCTCGCTGCTGCGTCAGTCGCACGTCCGTCTGGATGGACTCCGCAGCTGCGGCCTCCTGGGAGGAGGCGTGCCGGAGCTGCTCACGAGCAACAAGTAGCACGTGACCACGCCAGGATACGTAGTAACGGCTGTTGGACTCCTTCGCGATCACAGTCGCAGGACCCCGCCATCTTTCAGGATCTTGCCGACGACGTCCCTTGAACGGATTCGGTGCCCAGAAATACACCCTCGATCCTGGGCACAGATCACCGACGACCGTCGGCGCCTGTCGTAGCAACGCCCTCCGCACCTCGTCCGTCGCGTCGCGCTCCAGCAACATCATCTTTGCTGCGGTGCGGATTTGGGGCGAACGCCAAGCTATGCCCTTGGCGCCGAGGACCGACATGAGAACCTCATCGTCGTCCCTGTTAGTCACCTCCGTAAAGTTCAAGATCCGCCGGAAGACAGCCTGCTCCGGGGTCAATCCATTGCGGCTGATCGTCGAGTTCTTCGCATTGATGATGGCAGCCAGGGCCACAGTAGACATCGACTTGCCCTGGACGTGGAACTCGTGCACCACCTTGCCACAGATAGTGCCGAGTAATCCTCCGTGGCGCTCGGCCAGGCCATGCTGCCATGCTGCATGAGCTCCCGTCGTCTTCGTATTAATGCCGAACTGCTCCATCAACGCGTTGAAGTAGCCCTCGAACTCGCCGCCCTGATCGGTCACGATGTTTTCTGGCACGCCGTAATGCTTGAACCACTCGTTCATGATCTGGCGTGCTACGTGCTTGGCCGTCCTATTCTTGAGAAGGCAGGCGCAGTGCCATCCCGCACCAGCATCCACCATGCTGAGGACCACCAGCTGCTCCTTGGCCGCGTCCCGTAGGTACTTCACGTCGATCACAACCGTCACATTGAAGCCGAATGGTCGCACATCCGCCGTCCCTTGCACCGGACGGGGCGGCGCCTCCGACTCAGCACAAGTCGGACACTGCCAATGCTTCGCGTATGCCAACGCGTTAGGTGTGGCAGGCATCGACCTCGGAGATCACAACCTCGCCCTGCGTACCGTTGATGCCGACTGTGTAGCACCACGCACGCTCTGACAAGAGCGGCACGCCTGGGCCGAACTTGAAGTACTCGCGCTGATTGATGCTGTGGTACGGCACGCCCATGGCATCCAAAGTCTTCTGCAGCTCGACATGCCACGGACGTCCACCGACAGCCCGCTTGCAGCCCGTGTCAATCATAGCTAGCCCCGCGGGCAAGACAACAAGCATGACGGACTGCTCATCTACCACCTTGCGGGGGCACTCCTCTCGGGTGGTGACCATGTGGGCCGCAGATCCCCCTTTCGCTGCCCAAGGGTCTGCGCCCTTTGCTGCCCAGGGGTCCGCGCCCCCTTTTGCGGCAACATCCTCCCCAGTCGGAGCGGCAGACGTTAGTCCTGGCACAGCTCCGTCTGGGGTGTTCTTGGAAGGTTTCCCTTCATCCTTCTTGGGCTTCTCCAGCGTGTAATGAATCACCGACTTCAGCGAACACTTCTTGCACTTCGCGAAGATCACGGTGCCGTTTGACTGCCACTTCAACTCGCCCACCGGATGAACACACTCAGCCTGCTGCTGCATGAGCTCTGGGTCGAACTTCGCCTTCGGGCCTGGAACCAGCCTCTCGCCGTCGAACTGCGAGTCGTACATGGCTCGATGCATCTGCTGCTTCTCCAGGTCACTCTGCGTGGCACCGACACTCACGACGT